ATGGGATGAGGCGGTGAGCAGAAATACCGTGAGAGGTCCCTGGGTCAGGCACCCGGCCTGACTTTTCCATTCCTGCCTGCACGCTATTCAGACCGACGCGGCCCTCGTTCACATCCTCCTCCCATCACCGCTGGCTCTTTCTAGTGGCCTCATTTGTCAGTCCTCCACAGGCTGACAAAATCTAAACGTGCCACCCCGCTGCCACCCCACAAACTCCAGGGGCTTCCTGTGGCCTCTGGGATCAAACCAAAGTGCCTCCCTCTTCACGGGGTGCTCTGAGACCACCTTTCCATCTCCACTGGCCAGACTGGCTTTCTGGCTCCACGTGCCTGTGTCCAGGCCTGACTCTGTGAAGTCACACTTCACGGAAGGCCACTTTGTGAAGCCCGAAGCCTTCATCCCTTTCTCGGCAGGTACGGGCAGGGCAGGAGGTGGGGGAGGGCCACCTTTGGGGATCAGAGCCCCCAGGATGAGCTCCCATGGCACAGCCGACGGAGGCAGAAGATTTTCATTCAACTTCCAGCACTTTGCTCTTGCTAGCTGCCAGACCTGTGATGAGCTCCTGTTAACAGCTCTGAGCCTCAGTTTTCTCATCTGTACAATGGAGATGATCATTTGTGCACTACCTGACCACACTGGGTTGTGAGGACAGTGCTATAGAAACAGGACTTAGGAGCTGACCCAGCAGAGGGCGCTCTGCACCAAAGATTGGTACTCACCTTTCCTCCTTGACTTTGACCATCAGTGAAGTCCAGGAGGCAGCCCTGGCCATTAGCTGGGGGAGCCAGGACACCCAGAAGTGAAACCAGAGCCATCACTAGACATCCTGGCCCCGGGGGCAAATTCAGCTGAGGGGTCAAGGGTCAGCGAGCCCCGGGAGAGATGATGCAAGGGTGGGTGCAGCGGGACCAGAAGTGGGGCGATCTGTCCCCTCCCCTCTGGCCCTAAAGTCTGCTCCCACGCCCTCTCCTACGGCCCTCCTTCCCCCAGAGCCCCTGAAGGGGCATGGGCCGGGGGATAGCGGTCTCCAGGGTGATGGGAGGAAAAGTGTGCCCTGGTTCTAGAGCGCCTAAGCCCCAGCTGGCCCACCCTGGTTAGGGCTCTGCTACAACAAAGGGGTGCTGGGGTTTCACGGTGGGGGGCCTCAGGTGAAGCTGGGGAGAAGGGAGGACTTGAAGAAGTAGGAAGCGTCTGAATGGGTGGAACAGAGCCTTGTTCTAGAGCTGGGAGGGCCCTCAGAGTCATTGAGCCTGAACCCCTCGTTTTACAGAGGAGGAAACCGAGGCACAGAGCGGTCAAGCGACTTACACAAGGAGGGAGTGGAAGAGGCAGGATTTGAACCCAGGGCCTCTGACTCCAAAGCCAGTATGCCTTCCATTGTTCCGCATTCCCGTGTGTTTCTCAAAGGAATCTCTAAGCCACAGGATAAGGGTCCCAGGCTTTCTAGTCTGTGAGCCCGATTCCTAAGGTTCCATTGATAGTCTTTGGAGGCTGCCTTCATCACCTGCAGGGATGCCCTTGCCCTCCGCAGCTAGAGCCTGGAGGCTCAAGGAGAGGGAGAGAGAGCCAGGGAGGAGAAGAGGGAGCTGGGGTGAGAAGGAGAAGGACTCCAGGCATGTTGTCCAGGGCATTCCTGAACAGGACCAACATTCCGGGCTTCCGAGGAGGAAAGGGAGGGCGGAGGAAGAGATTGGAGGGAATGTGCTCTTTAGGCTTATAGGGTTTAAAGAATAAGACCTTTGAGGGGCACTGAGGTGGCACAGTGTGTAGAGCCCTGGCCCCGGAGTCAGGAGGACCCGAGTTCAAATCCAGCCTCGGACACTTAACGCTTACTAGCTGTGTGACCCTGGGCGAGTCACTTAACCCCATTGCCCAGCCCAAGAAAAACAACAACAACAAAAAAGAATAAGACCTTTGAGAGGAAGTTTCTTGGACCGTTTAAAGTTTGCTAAGGACAAGGCTGTTGGAAAACTCTGGCCTCCATAACCAGCTTCCCTACCTCCCCATTCCATCTATTTTAAATAAGGTTCAGTTCATGAAAACTAAATTTCTCAACAATGTTTTGGTTTTGTTGTATAAAATGAGGTCCCCTCTGTAGTGCAGAGCAAGTGGTCCTGGGACAGGAAAGAGTGTTGAAGCAATGGGTGTAATGGAAAGACTGCTGGATTCAGCATCAGAGGACCTGGGTTCAAATCCTTGATCAGTCATTTACTGTCTGTGTGACCTTGGGCAAATCACAGAAGTTATCTGGGCCTCAGTTGCCTTATTTATAAAATAAGAGGATTAGAAAAGAAGAGCTCATGTGACTTGGAATTCTAGTTCTTCCACTTGTTACCTGTGTGACCTTAGACAAGTTACCTGTGGCTCAGTTTCCTCAACTGTAAAATTAGAAAGTTGGACTTGTTGGCTTCTAAAGTCCCTTCTACCTTCAAACCTATCATCTTACGACTTTGTATCTTGGCACTGACACTAACAGCGTGACCTTGGGCAAGTGACATCACTTCTCTGTGCCTCGGTTTCGTCATCTGTAAAATGAAGGTATTTTGACGAGATGGCTTCTAAGGCCCCTTCTAGACCTAAGTGTGTGAGAGTTAATCAGATGGGAATCAGAGCGTTTGGAACATCTCCCCATCTGCCTAGGAGACACAGCATTGGGGTTTTCCTGGCCTTGCATTCCCCTAATCCTCACGCTTGCCTCTCTCACGCAGGCCGCCAGGAGTGCCTGGGGGAGCCACTAGCCAAGATGGAACTGTTCCTCTTTTTCACTAACCTGCTACAAGACTCCAGCTTTGTCGTACCCCCAGGGAGCTCCCTGCCCAGTGACAAGGCCAATGTCTCAGTAATCTTGAGCCCTCAGCCCTTCCAACTCTGCGCTATGCCCAGATAGGAGAGGCGCCTGCCAAGGATCTCGACAAACTTGCCCTGCCCATGCCCCTCAACAGTCCCCTTTGACTAACCTGACTCCTCTTCTTTACCCACATAACCCCCTCCCCTTGGGCTAAGGGATCATGGTACTGGCATCACAGGGAATAAATTACCTTCTCAGCTCACACCTTCTGCCTTTGAATCTTGTGGGCACTTTCCAGATGAGTGGGAGCAGTAGCCACACCAGGTATGTGCCAAGCCCCATTTTCTGAATGCCAGCTTGCCTCTGGGCACAACAACCAACAGCATAGCCTCTCTCTCCCACTCGTTTAGGCCTGGGACAGCTAACCAACCTTCAGCTGCTCATGGTGGCTTTCTCAGAATAGGAAAGGGACTTGCCTAGGTCATAGAGGGACGGGTTTGCAGCTTGGACCCACAGCTCACTTCTAGTGCGGGACTTTCCAAAACAACCATGTGCCTCCAGCTGTTAACGGACAAGTCTCTTCCCCTCTGGACCCTTCCAGTTCTGGCATGGGAAGCACTTGGCCCAGCTCCCTGTGAGGACAGCACCTTGGAGTTTGTTCATGTCATCTGTTAGTATCTGAAACCTGGTGGGCCATGCTAAGCTCTACAAGGAGTAGTGGAGGAGGCGAGAAAGAGGCCCTGACCAACCTTATCTGGCTGGGGGGCTAGCAGAGCAGAAGCAGAGGGCCACAACCATGGCACGTGATCATTGCTTGGGGTTACACCAGATTTCCAGAGAGAAAAGGCATCTGGCCTAAGGTCTTATGTCCCAAACAAGGCCAGGTCAGCTATGATAAAGGGACATCGGGCCATGGACTCCCCTCCCAGGCCTCATGTTGGCCTGAACACCACCCAGAATGTGGCTGGGAAATGGAATTAGTCTCATACTAAATGATGCCTAAGGACCCTCCTCACCCTAAACCCTGGGATCCTAAATTGATCTCTTGTTGGAGTGAAGACCCAACTGAGCATTTGCTGAAAATTCACTGTACCTATTCAGATCGACAGCAGAAGAATAGGATGGGACAGCCTCCCTCAAGGGGCAGTGAGTGGCACCACCCTACCCCCACCCCCAGCAGGTGTCCCATAGACAGGAGCCTCTCTAATCCATTGCCAATAGCAGTTTTTAAAATACAGAGAGAGGCTCCTTTTTTGGGCCCTCTTTCCTCAGTGGTTAAAGATGGTGTTTGTGAGATAGAAGCCATGTGTCTCCTATACACGTGGAACTGGGAGGGGGCTGTCCATGAATCCTCTTCCTTTCTCTTTTTTCTAGAAAGATTCACTAAAGCCCAGGTTGAGACAGGTAGAAGAAAGCTCCACCCCAGCCCCATTTTACTGGACCTGAGGCCCAGAAAGGGGAAAGAGCAGCATGAGACAAGTTGAGGGTTCCTGACTCCTACCGAGCCCTTGGAACCACTTGGTACACCATGGGCATTTTGAGTTAGGTAGTGTCTGTGGAGGCCAAGGGCTTCGATAACGACCTCACGCTTGGCCGTTGGAATGGTGGCAAGCCCTGGCCAGTGGCTTCCCCGTAACAGATCATGGGGTGTGCGTGGGAGAGATGACCTTTTAGGCCCCAGGAAGCTTTCTAGGTTAGCTCCATTGGTGCTGAGCTTGGGCCTATTTGCAGGAAGTTTAGCCCCTCCTCTTTCACCTCCCAGACTCTGTGCCCAGTTTGTATGAGCTGGCCAGTCTGCCATGCTTCCTTTGTTGCAAGGCAGACCAGGAGTAACAGCTGATGGGGCTCTGTCTTGCAGGCCCTTGGGCAGTAATGTGGACAGCCTCCTGCGCCTCCGGGGCCGCCCACTCCTGGACCACGAAGCCTTGTCATGTCTCTTAGTCCTTCTCTTTGTGGACGAGCCCAAACTGAATACGAATCACCTCCACCGTGTCCTGCGCAACCTGTGCTACCACGGCCAGACCCGCCATCGGGTTATCCGCAGCCTGCCGTCCATTCTGCAACGGAGCAGCGAGAGTGAACTGTGCATCGAGACCCCCAAGGCAGCTACCACTGAGGAAAAGGGCAAGAAGGCAGCCAAGGGCTGCCCCACAGGCAGCCGTGATAGCCGGCCCCTGGACCTGCTGCACAAGATGGAGTCCAAGAGCTCCGGCCAGCTCTCGTGGCTCTCTGTGTCCACGGATGCGGCCCTGGGCTGCCGGACTAACATATTCCAGATCCAGCGGGCGACAGGCCGCAAACACACTGAGAAGCATGCTGGCTGTGGCTCCACTGTCCACATTCACCCCCAGGCTGCTCCTGTGGTGTGTCGACATGTCCCGGATACACTCATCCAGTTAGCCAAGGTGAGCACTGGCCTAGTATGGGGCCCTTGCACCTAGAGCAGGGCAGTGACCGAAGCATACTGGGAGCCCGAGGATGAGGTGGGGCAGGGATGGAGCGCTAAGAAATGGGTTACAAGGAGAGCCTTATGAGTCATAGAGCCTGACCTCCTCACTTGACACAGATCTCAGGGTTAGTGGCCAAGGACCACCCTAGGAACGGCTCTCTGCGATCGTGTGTCATTGATCATCTGATATGGCTGGGAGCTGAGCTAGGCGTGGGGGCAGGGGGTCATTGATGTGTTTCATGGGCCTAGTCCCCTTCTCAACAGCCTGGCAGTGTGGCCCATTCGCAGCCTCCCGTCTGAGTCAAAGCAGGCATGGTTCTGGCTTCGGGTGCCGCCACCCACCTATCCCTGCTTCCCCACAGGTCTTCCCCAGTCACTTCACACGGCAGCGGACCAAAGAGATGAATTGTGACAGCGATCGGGAGAGGAGCAACACACAGGCCTGTAGCCCCTGTCCCAGCCAGTCCACCAGCGGCAGTATTTCCACTGACTTCTGGGACTCGTTGGTCAAACTGGACAACGTGAACGTCAGCCGAAAAGGCAAAAACTCTGTCAAGTCAGTGCCCGTCAATGTGGGCAGTGAGGGAGAGCCCTCTCTGTACAGCCTTGAAGCCTCTCCCCTAGGGCAGCTCATGAACACGCTGTCTCATCCGGTCATCCGCCGGAGCTCCCTCCTCACTGAGAAACTCCTGCGCCTCTTGTCCCTCATCTCCATTGCACTGCCCGAGAACAAAGCACCAGAGACTCTGGCCAACCCAGGCAGCAGCACCGGCACTCCTTCCGTTACCATTGCCTCCTCAGCAAGTGGCACCTCCACCAATACTGGAGTTGCCACCCCAGGCCCCCTTGCCCCCAGCCCCACCCCAGCTGGAGCCTCAGCCACTGCTGCCGTGGCAGCCACCCCAGCTGCTGTTGTTGCAAGTGAGTTGTAGTGGCGGGGTTCTCCAAGGTTGTCTGCTGGACCTTCCACGGGAGCCATTTCAGTCACAGCTGAGGCTCTAGTAGTCAATCAGTTGTGGGCCAGTGGCAGCGGAAAGCATGGTGCATATTTGGGCAAGAGGAGCTGGTAGAGGTCTGTGAGAGTAGAAGGGATGGCATTGTGAGGCTTCTGCTAGGCTGAGGGACAGGTCCTGGTTCTGTGGAGCGTGTATCAGGGCATCTAGTGGGAGCTCACGATGTCAAGACCTGGTTCTCAGCCCTGAGGGAGAATTCTCTTCCTAGAGTCAGGCTACTGTTCTCCTTAGAAGCCATCAAGGCCTGGCCACCCATTAGACAACAGCGGAAGCTGAGGCCCTCCATTGCCAGTGGACAACACCCATCCCTGTCTCACTGAGCTGGCCTCTAGTTGTCTTGTTTGCCTGGCACTCACTCCTCTCATTGTTATTCCTTTGAAGCTACTGCTAAGAGCAGCAAATCCCCAGCGAAGGCTGGCGAGGGAGGCAGTGGGAGCAGTATAGAGAGTGAGATGGCAGCATCGGGCCTAACCGAAAATCAGCTCCAGCTCTCTGTGGAGGTGAGGAGTGGGCCGGGGAGGGGGACAAGAGTGAACAGCATGTGACTTGAAGCTGCCCCAGTTACACTCACTCCCTCTTCCCCTAGGTGCTGACCTCGCACTCGTGTTCAGAAGAAGGCCTGGAAGATGCAGCCAATGTTCTGCTACAACTTTCCAGGGGTGACCCAGTGACCCGAGACACTGTTCTTAAGCTACTGTTAAATGGAGCCAGGCATCTGGGTTATACCCTGTGCAAACAGATTGGTAAGAGGGGAAGGAGGCCCAAAACCTGCCTCAGGGAAAAGGCAGCAGTCTTTAGCATTCTCTCCTTCCCTCCCCACCTCCTGGTTTTCACCCTGAGCTCAGGCACAGCCTCACCTTCCAGGGCCTTCAAAGGTGCCACCCTGGGTTCTCAGACAGTATCTTGCCTAAAACTAAAGTTTGTGGAGTGAGGGCATTCAGTTGTCTCCCTGGGCCTTGTGAAAAGCACTGCTTTCTCCCAGCTCCATTCCTCCTAGAGAGTTGTAGGAAAACGCCCTCCAACAGGCCCTGAATGGGGCCCTTGGAGACCATTTGGCCCAACTCCCTCACTGTGGGGTTGAGGAAACAGAACCATATTGGGGGGGGGTTTGGTTCTGCAGTCTCCTTACTTCCTCCCTGGCTCCTGCTAGGGATCCCAGTAAGAAAAAGAAGCCACCTTCAAGGCCCACTGGGCCCCTTTTGTCTTCTCTGGGGATTGGACGACAGGTGTGGAAACCTGAGGAAGTCTGTGAAGGAGCACGGGATGCAGCTGCACCCCCACTGTCTTGGCATCAGCAGGACTGCCAGGCAAATTCTCCCCCCTCACTCCCCAGAGCTGGCTCTGACTATCCTTTGCTGCTTCTGCTCACCTCAGGGACCCTCCTAGCCGAGCTTCAAGAATACAATTTGGAGCAGCAGCGGCAAGCCCAGTGTGAGATCCTGTCTCCAGATGGGCTGCCCGAAGAGCAACCCCAGACTACCCGACTGAAAGGAAAGATGCAGAGCAGGTGGGCCACTGGTATTCTGGGCAACACCTAGGCTCCACAGTGTTGGTGGCCAAGGCCTAGCCTACTGGCAGCACCCTTTTCCTTCCCTGGGAATGTGTTTCCTACTCTCATCTCCTCTTCCTCCCCCACCCTCATCCCATCCTCCCTTCCTCTTCTCTCTCATCTCTCTCTCTTTCTTCCTCTCTGTCTCTGTCTCTTTCTTCCTCTCTGTCTCTCTCTTCTTTCCCTCCCTTTCTCTCTCTTCCCCCCTTCACTCTGTGTATGTGTCTTTCTCTGCGTGTGCGCAATTAGGGTGCACACACACACACAGCATCCCACCCACACCACCCCGGGTCTCCTTCGCTCGCTTTTCTCTCTCTCACACTCACATAGCCACAACCACAGCAAAAACACCCCTCTGCCCGGCCCCCTAGGTTTGACACAGCTGAGAATGTGCTGATCGTGGCATCTCAGAAGCGCCCACTGGGCGGTCGAGAGCTCCACCTGCCGTCCATGTCCATGCTGACGTCAAAAACGTCCACGCAGAAGTTCTTCCTGCGTGTGCTGCAGGTCATCATTCAGCTCCGAGATGACACACGCAGAGCTAACAAGAAGGCCAAGCAGACAGGCAGGCTAGGTAGGCCACTTAGCCAGGGGCCCACCTTGTCCAGGTCTGGAGCTGAGGCACAGGATGCCAGCCAGTGGTTGGTCTGTATTCCATTTCCTCATCCAAGGGGCTGTAGGGGGAGGGGGTGAGGACTCACTCTTTCTGGCTTTGCTCAGTGCCCTGCGGCCGTGCCCTTGGAACACCCCTTGGTCACCAGCCGCTGCGGCTTCCCCGGGGTTGCTTCTGCCCTCTTTCTGCAGCCTGAAGGGCCTTCTATCTGCTCCCCATTCCCAGGCACCTCCAGCCTGCGCTCTGCTAGCAGCATCCAGGCAGCTGTTCGGCAGCTGGAGGCTGAGGCTGATGCCATTATACAAATGGTACGTGAAGGTCAAAGGGCGTGGAGACAGCAGCAAGCAGCAATGGTTAGCATGATGCCTGGGGCCTCTCATTTGTTCATTTTCTTTTTTCTTTCTTCATCCGCGTGTTGTTCTTCTTCCCCACCCCCACCACACTCCCCACTCTGTGCTTATCCGTGAGCTTAATGTCCAGATGCTTCTAGGGAGCAGAAGTTAAGTTTCATTTCTCGGTTTTTCTCTTTCCTTTGTGTGGGCTCAGCCCTGACCCTCTTAGTTGCCTAATTGAACCTTCCTCAGATCTCTTTTCTGGGTTCTGAGTAGGAGTGGGGAGGTAGCCAAGCCACCTTGGTCACCCTGACCAGCACCCCTTGGGGCCCTGCACACTTGAACACACACCCTGCCGCAGCCCTGGGTCCTCAAGAGCGCCGAAATGATTGGGGGCCCTGCTCAGGAGGGTGACGTGGTGGCTTGCAATACAAATGCCTGAGTGGCCCTGCCCCCTTGACCCAGAAAGAAGAGAAGAGAACTCTGAAGCCTGTGTCTAGGAAGGCCTTGTTCCCCAGTGTAGACCAAGCCTTTCCCTAGGAAGAGCAAGCTGGGGAGGAAAGGGCAACAGTATTGGGGAAGAATGGAGCAAAGTGCAGGAAGGACCACCAGACAGCTTGGCTCCAGGCACCTCTGCTTGCCTTCTGAGGCAGCTTTAGCTTCTCTTCTGATCCTGTTGTATCAGGTCCTGAGTGCTGACAGAAGGGCAATGAAGGGTCACTATCCTCTCTGTTACCTGTGAGAAGGGCCCCTGCTTGAGGAAGCAGGGACCCAGACTTCCTGGTGACTAGCCATGTCTCCCATTTTGTCCAGTCGGAGTCCAGCCAGTCTGAGGTTGCTTCCCGGAGGGATGAGTCTCCCATGGATGTGGACCAGCCATTCCCTGCTTCTCAAGATACGCAGTCCATTGGTCAGTACCATGCTCTTGTCCCAGGGAGATGGGAAGACCTGGCCTTGGAACCTGTATGGAGCAGCCCATTCCCAGGCTAATGTGGCAGCGGCTTGACTAGGGGTGGGCGCAGGGCTCTTGCACCGACCTATCTCCTTTTGGGAGGGCCTACCACTTAAAAGTATGCCTGCACATCTCTGTGCATCCGACCCTTTGAAGAAAACTTGGCCTCCAAGTCTGGTTGGAGAAAAACCTCTGCTCCAAAAAGCCCTCGAGAAACTGCTGTCTGGTTGGCACTCGGTGAAGGTCTTTTGTGTCTGTTGCACACGAGACCCTGTGCTTGGGGATCCCCCGTTCTGCCCTGACAGTCAGGGGCGACCACTTGGGCCACCAGGAAGGCTTTGGAGTATCTGGCCTTCATGTGTTTCTCCTTCCCACCCAGGCTCCGAAGGAAGCCAACAGAGCGAGAAGGAGAAAGAAGAGAGACCCCCTGATCTTCCCCTGCTTAGTGAGCAGCTGAGCCTAGATGAACTCTGGGACATGCTGGGCGAGTGTTTGAAGGAGCTCGAAGAATCCCATGATCAACATGCAGTGCTAGGTGAGCGTATGGGGCCTCCTGGGCAGTGGGCCCCGTCTTCCTTCCTTTGCTGGTCCAAGGTGTAATCTGCTCTGCTCATCCCTTCTTCCTGTTCCCCCTCCCCAGTGCTGCAGCCTGCTGTCGAAGCCTTCTTTCTGGTTCATGCCACTGAACGGGAGAGTAAGCCACCTGTTGGGGACACTCGGGAAAGCCAGCTGGCTCACATCAAGGATGAGCCACCACCACTCTCCCCTGCTCCTTTGACCCCTGCCACCCCCTCTTCCCTGGACCCCTTCTTCTCCCGAGAGCCCTCATCTATGCACATTTCCTCCAGCCTGCCCCCAGACACACAGAAATTTCTTCGGTTTGCAGGTGAGGAGGAGAGGAGAGCTGTCCTTCCCTAGACTGCCCTTGGGAAGGATCAGTGGAGTACAGTTGATCGTGCTAGCCTGGGTTGGCCCCAAAGCTACCCTAAAGAGTCAGGCAACAGAATCCCATGTCTCCAACTTCAGCCTGCCCTTCCTTAGTCGAGAGTTGGGAGACCAAATGGGAAGGAGGATGGACAGCCTGACATCTGAGCACCTACCCTTCTCACACACACTTCAACCCTAGCAGGGGCTTAAGCTCAAGCTTGGCCAAGGGGCATGTGTCTCCATCACTGGGGCCTGGCCAGACTCTGCACGTGACATGTCCGTGGAGCTAGGGGAGATAGGACTCGGATCACAAGCGCCCTTCCTGATGCCCACTGTCTCCCCTGTCCTCAGAGACTCACCGCACTGTGCTAAATCAGATCCTATGCCAGTCCACCACCCATCTCGCAGACGGGCCCTTTGCTGTCTTAGTGGACTACATCCGCGTGCTCGACTTCGATGTTAAGCGCAAGTATGTGACATGGTATAGAAGTGGGGGCCACTGCGGGTGCTGAGCCTGATTCCTTCCTGGGGGAACAAAGGACACGTCTGTGTGAGTCACTCTTTCGAGCATACAAAGCACTTGGGCCCCTGGTAGTGAGGCTTCCTGGCCTGCACACTGGTACTGACTGTCACTGTCCAGTTTCCCAATCTGTAAAATGAAGGCGGGGGATTGAGGGGGGAGGGGGGTAGGGACACTTGGTCAGACTACATTCCAATTCTACAATTTGTCACGTAGCACGAGCCCTAGAATGCCACAACCTTGGGTAGTCAGTTATTGTGTTTCGGGTCCTGTTGGCCACCCTGGGCTTGAAGCAGATAGTTCAAGGGCCCGTGGTTGTCCTCTTCTCTCTGGGTATGCATGGGCATGATCTGAGTCTGCAGGTCTAGGCCCCATGGGGAAGGGTTATTCCAACTCCACTGCCTATTGCCTCACTTGAGGGAAATGTAGGGAGCAATGGTAAATGGCTGCTATGTGGGGGTGCCTGTGTGCCTTCATGCTCCCACAAATTGGGTCTTGGAATATATTCCTAAGCCCTCAACCCCCAGCTACTTGTTAGGGGTTCCTGTCGCTCTGTTGTCTTAACTTAGTCCAGCCTTGCTGTCTGCCCACACCCCTGCCTTCCCTCCCATGTTCCCATAGGATGACCAGACTGAAGTCTTCCTCCTCCCTGTTCCCCAGGTATTTCCGCCAAGAGCTAGAGTGTCTAGATGAGGGACTCCGGAAAGAAGACATGGCTGTGCACGTCCGCCGTGACCATGTGTTTAAAGACTCCTACCGCGAGCTGCATCAAAAATCCCCAGAGGAAATGAAGAATCGATTGTGAGGGCACTGGGTGAATGGGGAGGAAAAAATACACTCACCTCACCTCTTCCCCCCCCCCACCCGAATGCACGCGTGCGCGCGCACACACACACACACACACACTCACACACACACACGGCAGCTCCTTTTCAGCCATCTGAAGTATGACACTTGGGGAAACATGTAGGAAAT